TTTATTTTCTGTTGGTTTAGGAAGCAGAGTCTGCCCAAGGAGAAGTCAGACAGGCACCAGGCAGTGAACAGAGGGACCAAGGTTGGCCAGACCCAGGAAACAGGAATAGGTCATTGAGGTGTTTGAGATTAAGAAGTCTTTCTATGGCACTGGCTGCTTTGAACATTTTACTTTCCTTGTAGGCCTGCTTACCTCATCTGGTAAAACAGGCATCATACTCACCTATGGCAAGCTGCTAAAAATTTTTATAACGCATACCTGCCTTCACGGCTAGATACCACTCTGCAAGTAGGGAGAAAGGGCTTATAGAAGTAATCCTGCCTTGCTGTATACTAACTGTCCTACTTTTCCCATAAAACTTTATCTTTTAAGAGATAGGTATTAGAAGGCATTAAGTTGCCATTGATAAGTGTCACATGCCAACTGTGTGGTTGCTTAAGGATGGAGAGCTTCAGTATCTGTAAACAGGTGGATCCCCATAGATATGAAACAGTAGCTGTCACTGCCAAATTTAAATTAAATGCTTCTTGAAAATGTTATGGAATTTGATGTGTATTTAGGAGAGAGCGTAAAAAATGGAATCTATTGAGCGTAATTAAAGTGCAGCAATAGAATAAGAATTAAAAAAAAGAAAACCCCAAGATACTGTCACTTTGTTGTGAAGTGCTGTGAAAAATCATAATTAAGGGTAATGGCAAGGCCTTATTTGCTCTCAGAGCAAAATGTCCTAGATCCCTGACATCGAGGCAGAGCAGTGTTTTACTAAGAATGCTTTTCTTCTGTTGGTGAAGAATGATGAAGCTCTCTGAGTATTAATGATGCTGTAGGAAGAGCAGGGCTCGCTGCTTAAATCATTGAAGGTTGCTATGAGAAACAGAGTCGTGTTCCCATAGGGCATACCAATGTAGTTATAGAAGCTTCCTTTGAAAATTGATAAAGCTTCAGTTATTTCTAGCTGTGCTTTAGAGCAAATCAAACAATAATAATTGTTGAACAGGGCTGACCTGTGTGGACCCCAATGTTATTTGCAGTGGCATGTGGGCTCACAGAAGATAGAGCTGGAGTTTGCTTTCTGGTTTGTTAGAGCTCTGGCCAATTTGGGCACAGTTTTGAGGAGCAGTAATAAAGGACGTTTGCTGTCAGCCCTGATTTTGGCTTTTGACCATTTCAAGGAGAGCAACATCTTATAGTCACAGATACATTGCATGGGGGAAAGTCACAAAGCTGTAAGTGCTGTGCTATGCTCTGCTTTAAAGTTTTGATAAATGTAAACGTGGGAGCACTGAATGGCAATAATCCTGTGACATCTGCATGGCTCTATATAAGAAGCAAATGCTTCTTTAGTGTAGAACATCCTGGTATGTGCTGCCTGTCCCCACGGGAGCCTGGCTGCCTGGCAGGAGATGCTGCTGGTAATTGGATCCCTGCATTGCTCTGGGATGTCGGTCTGTGATCTTGTGGTGTCTGGCTTTATTTTGCTGTTCATATTGCAGGCTTGATAGGTTAATGATCCAGTGTAGCGTTTGAGGTTTTGGAATCACTGCATAACTAGTTTTATCCCGTATTTAATTTAGATTTTCCATTCTTCTAATTGTTAGGAAGAGAATTTTTGTATTCCGACGTGGTAATTTCTGTTCATCAGTTTGTTTCCTGCTGTCATTTGGTAGAACAATAAGTGAAAGATTTTTGTTGTTGGGGGTGGAATTTTCTTGAAATGTCATTCTTGAGTTATCTAATTTCAGAAACTTTGTATCAGCTCTATGAAATACTGAATATTTTATATTTTTTGTTGAAATCATTTTTGTTCTGTGCACCAGCCTCCCTCAGCTCACGGCTGTTTGATGCAGATACAGCTGAAGTGTTGGTATTGGTGCAGACTAGTTAGTTTTCTTAACAAGAAAGCTTGTAGTTTTCTACAAGTAACCTCCTGTTATTCTATGGTCTGTAAATAGTAGTCAATGGAGAAATTATTAGGGTTTCATAACAGCATTAGATACTGAAATGGTATACCATCTTATGTTCCCTGAATCTCAGAAGAAACTGGAATATACAAATCCTCTTAAGCTATAGAATTGAACTCCTGAAGATGTTTTCATGTAATTTATTTTAATAGACTTTGTGAGCTCAAGGGGACCACTGACACCGTGAGATTAAGTTGTTACCTTGCCAAGCTGCTTACCAGAGAAAGCAGCAGCACTTTCCTTAGCAGCTTGCAAGTAGACTTAGCGATGCATAGAAGAGAAACCCACTGTATAGATGTGGCATTTTACAGAGGGAGCAGCCAGGCTAGTAGTTTGTGTTAGTGGTTCTTTTCCTTGGGTTGTTCTGTTTTTATTATTTTATTATAGACGTGCAGAAAAAATGAGTGTAGTAAGTCCTATGTTTTATAAGGATGCAGAGCTACTTTGTGAAGTATTTGCTAAATGGAAAAGCTATTGTACTAAAATTAGTTTGTCAAAGTATATAGTAATTCTAGGTGTGGAAGGGAAAAAAAAGCCACTTATTTTAAGATGGCTTTAAAATTTCAGGTCAAAATTATAGTATTTATGAAATGACCTCATATTCCTTTTATCTTATTGTTGCTTTTGTCTAGAATTTGCAAACGGGATGGAATCCTAAGGAATTTACTGTCATGTTCAAAAAGAGAAAAGAAAAATAGTCGTGAAAAAGACCAACCTTTGTGCATGAGCGTGACCTGTACTCGTCAGGAAAAAAAAACCTATGTTGTACTTCATTACTAAATGCCATCATTACTTCCCCAAATTCCAATTTTCATAATGAAGTAGAAAAAAATGTATGAAGCTGACATTCTTCAGTTGAGTCAGTCTTTTCCCTGGCAGTTTTGAAAAGTTGACCATGCTGATCTGAAGATCCTTGTGCTCCTTAGTAAAAGCAGCAGATTAAACTTGGAAACGGGAAAGAAAACAATCTAATGGAAGAATGTCAGTGCTTTTTCTCCTGTTTAATGTGGATTGCTTTATTTTTGTATGTATGTGAGTACATGAGCTTCTCAGGTATATTTATCTTCTGTATCTAGAAGCTATAGATTTAGCTGCTGTGATGAGTCTTCCCTTTGGATTTTCATGCTTCATGGATTCTGAAACTGAGTGTTAACAGAAAATCTCATAAGCATAAATTAGATAAAAATACTGAAATGTATTGAGAGTTTTGGATTGAATAAGGGAAATAATTGGATTCAAGAAGTTGGCACTTATATAACTTCTGTGGGAAAACAAATGAAAATTAATATCAGCACTAGCTATAAAGTGCTGAGAAATATTGCTTCTACTTAAAAAAAAAAAAAAAAAAAAAGTCAATCTATAGCATTTGTTTTCTTTTTTGGTGAAACCTGAGTGTTTGTTGAGAGGAAGGATATTTTCCATTGCTTTGAAACTGGGAACAGAAACAAATGTGATCTGGTGACTGCAGGTTACATGAAATATGGATGTCTTGGTATGTTAAGAAATGGATATATCAATACAATTTTAAATGAGTTAATTTTATATTTAAAATGGTACCGGTCAAAGGATTGCTCTTTGCATATTGACAGAGTTGAATGGGAAGAATCAGCATCTCAATTAAATTTTGAGTTAAATGTAAAAATGAATTTTATAAACAAAGCTTAGAGTCATTTACAGCATTTAAGTGAAATATTCAGAATTCCTTTTAAGAATGACTCATGTTACACTCTGAATCTTTGTTCATCTTGATCATCTAACACATTTTTGTACCATTCTGAATGATAGAATTGTTTGCACTGCAGTGTACTGTGATGTCTTATCCCGGCTTGAAATTTTTGTTTTATGAATCTAAATGTTTTATATGTGTAACAGGAGGGGTTAGCCAGGGTGAAGAGTGAATCATAATTGCAAAGACCTTTTAAAAATAAAAATGTTTGAACGCAAGGCTGCTGTTTCAGTTCACAAAGGTGTGTATTATGGAGTCGCAGACTGGCTCAGGCTGAAAGGAACCTTAAAGCCCACCAAGCCCCAGCCCCCTACCATGGGCAGGGCTGCCATTCTCGAGATCAAGTTGCTCAGGAGTTCCTCATCCAACCTGACCTCGAATGCCTCTGGGGATGGGGTACCCACAGCTTCTCTTGGGCAGCCAGTGCCTCACCAGACTCTGAATGAAAATTTTCTAATAGCTAATCTGAATGTCCTTTCTTTTAGTTTAAAACCATTCCCCTTCTGCCTCTTTGGCAGATATCCAGCATGGTATCACTGTGCACAGGGAATGCTTGCTCCTTACTGGCCTCCTTGCCTCTGTTTGTAGAGGACCAGTCAATACTTGGCATATTAATATAGACAAGTCCTCTCAAAACCATCATTCATTTCCCTGGGCACATGTGCACAGCTGATCCAATGCCCTCCAAGTCTTGCTAGTGTAATGACTCACTTCCATACACAAATCTTTGCTTTGTTGAGAGCATTCATTTAAAGCTCTCAACTTTTAAAAAGGCCTCTATAGCAACTCGCTTCTCAAGGTTGCAGTAAGGCAATTGCTCTTTCAATCTGTCTTCGTGACACAATATTCTTTTAACATAGATGACTTTGCATAGACTTCCAGAACCTTGAGGAGAAAAACATCGTGCTTGAAAAAAAAGGGAATAGGTATGGAAAAGAGATGAAGCTGTTCTTTAGCTCTGTGTGTCTTTTATGTGAGAATATGCAGTATCCCCTTCTTTGCACCTAACCTCCAAGCAATGCTTTTGGATGCAAGTCCTCCAACACAGACTGAAATCTTTGGCTGCGGCACATCTGAGGGACAGGCAAGGCTGGAGCTAAGTTCCTATTCCTCAAATCCAAAGACTGTGAAACCTGGCACAGTGTCCTGTCCTGCTGCTGTGCTGTGCCCACACAGCTTTGCAGTAGATGCCCACTGTTTATCAAATTTCTGACTGAAATATCCTTGCTGTCCAATGGAAATAATTCTTTATGTGGGGCTCTTCTGAATTCTGAAAACCAGTGGCTTCTGTTTTCCTCCTTCATCTCCCACTCCTATTTCTTTTTTTTTTTTTTTTTTTTTTAATTTTAAAAATTACTTCCAGTGTTGCAGTCTGTGTCACATACGAGGGTATGCTGGGATTTTGGGGGAGTATAGCAAAACTTTAATGTATGTTCATAAGAAAGTATTAAGAGAGCCTGTGGACAGATTTTGGAGATAATTAGGAACTATACAGAGCTGCTGCAGGCTCGAGGGATGTTTGCAGGCTGCAGAGTGTTCCTCAGGGAAAGGAATTGCGCTGTAATTACAGGCAAGGTCAGTGCATTCAGTTCAGTGGAAAAGACGTGGTAAGAGCTGGGGCTCTGCTGAACATTTTTCAATGTCATTAACAAGACTCAGTTGATTCCACTTTTTAAGTCACTATCCCCTGAAATATGGATCATACAGATGTTCTCTGTGCTGTGAGGATTTTGACCTCTTTTTGAGAGAGAAGATTCATGCCTGTAAGCGAAAGGACTTTCTTGTTCATGCTACATTTTTTTGTAGCTCTGAGGATTTTGAATGTGTGGTTCAGTGTTGTATTTTTCCACCTTTAAAACAAAGGTAGTACGTTTTTTCTTCTCTGAAACAGCTCCTTCAACATCCCTTTGAGGTGTTTCAGCCCACTCCATGTTACCTGAAAGCATGGCATGTGTCCTAGCCTTTGCTCCAGGACATTATGATGGCGGTCTTAAATTCACCCCTAGAGATAAGCTTTTTCTTTCTTCCCTTCTGAGGGCAGTACATTGAGTTCAGAAAGCATTCAAATGCAATTCTGTTTGCAAGTTCTCCTCCCCTGTTTCTCACTTGCGCTGTAAAACACCTTTGCAGTTTTACTGGCACTGCTGAATGCAGGACCATGCTGGGCCTGCACTAGGATTGATTCAGCTTCAAGCAAAAAAGGAAAAGCTTTTGAGTACAGCTTCAGCTGAGAGCCGTGTGGGCTGCTGTGGCACTCACCTCTCACCCTGCCCTGCTGTGTGTGTGTACTCAGTTGATGTAAGGTAGTTGGTCCAGGTGAAAGTCAGCTGCTGGTTTTGGAGGATATGTTTTTGGCTAGATCAGCTTGCTCATCTGGCTGGTAGGAAGGGTGCTAGGCTTCTTCCAGTTTCTTTTTCCCATGAACAAGTGTAACAGCTTGTTTACCTCACTTCTGTACTCTGGACTTTTACAGTTTGCTGTCTTTCATATTTCCAGGCCCCTTCCTTTTCCAAAATTTGTAAATTTGGCAACACCCAATTAATAGCTTCTGACAGTTTACTTAAGGACCCCCGGTGTTTTTCTTGAAAACGGTTTTCCTGAAGGCATTTTAATGGTGTTTTGTTATTGGAATATTGTGTTGAAATAAGTTCTGTCAATATTCACGATGGATATCTGCTGAGCAGCTGGTAATGTAAGCTTCATTTCATCCCATTTGCCAACAGATGTATGTTCTGTCTCATTTTCTTATGAATATATAGCCATATGTGACTGACATTACAGCATCTCTATTAATGCACTGGCAGTTATGATTGCAGTGGCTGGCATTACGCCTTTGCCACTTGCCTGTTTCTGTGCAGCTCTACTCGGGTTACTGGTGTCTTTACATCTCAAATTAGCATGACTGACTGTCCTGCCCAGACCATACAGCTGCTATGGAGCAGGGGAGGAACTTCTAAAATTGCAGAAGGATGAAATTTATGGAGAGAGAGCCATTTAAGAACAAAGGGAACACAAATTAAGCTTGTTCTAGCTTTTTTTTCTTTCTTTCTTTCTTGGCATGAAGAACAGCTTTACAGCCTTTCTGGTATTTGTTTAGAATGATGTCCTCCAAACTGCATATTTTTCTGTAATACTAAAGAAGGATGAGAACCTCAGTGACTTGCAGCACAATGGAAGGTGAATGAAACAAAGATAATTAGAGGAGATGAGTGAAAGAAAAGAAAAAACAGTACTTGCTCAGGTCAAAATTTGTATTTTTTTCCTTACGGAATTGGCTTTTTTCCCCCCACAAACCAGTTATCTTACTTCGGTCCTTTAGGAACTGAGTACTTAATTTTGATAAAGAATTTTTGTTCCACTTGAATAAGATTACTCAATTTATGTTGCTTTGTAAGTTGGACTATATAAACAAAAAGGTGTTATGGCTGGCTAGCTTCTAGCTCTGCAGTGTATGGTTTGTAAGAGAATGTCTGTATTATGAGATGCACCATTTGTGTAGTATTTTGTTTAGCAGTAACCTTGAAGGTTAATCCCATAACCACTATTCGATAGCTGGCGGGATCATTTGCTATCAGCTTGTGCAGAACCAATTGTGGTTTGATCCTTCAGAACGGGTCTCCTTCCCTTACCTCAATTATCTTACAGTCTTCATTGATATAGGTGTATATTTTTCCCTTCTTACATGGCAGAGGAAGGGAAAACTGCTGCTTCTTTTGACCTCATGCAAGTTTTACAGGAAGAAAATTGCTTAGGCTAAAAAGCCTGAAATATGGTAGCTTGACTTTTTGAAGGCTCTGTAGCTTACAGTTCTTTCCATAAGATTTTTGTGTGGTCAGGATCTTGAAAATGCAGGCTACTGTGAGGTTTTCTTTTCTTTCTTTTTTTTTTTAAAGGTAATTAGTAATTTAGAATACTGTGTACTTGTCAGCATTTTCCTTTTTCCTTCTCTGCTTTCCCTTCCCTCCCAGTCTCCTTGTAATCTCACCTTCAGATACCCTACTCAAAGCTGTGAAGAGTGGGGTTTTGAATAAACATAAAATGCTGAAGAGCTTGCTGCAGTATTGGTACACTTGGCTGTGCGTGACTTCTTTCTGTCAACAAAAGAGAGACACCTCAATGAAAGATGCATGAGAACAAGCAAATATTTTTCTGGTTGTCTAGCTAGCTCAACACTTATACTCTTATATAAGTTAATGGAAACACTTAGGAGTTAAATTGGGTTAAATATTGACACAAGTAGGAGAGCCACTGCTAATAACCCCTTTTTTTTTATTTCCCGCCTTAAATTAATACTTGAATTCATTCCTGTAATGCCAGAACATAACTTGTTGCTGGTTTTGCATTCAAGAACAGCTATATCGCACAGCAAAACAAAATAAAATAATTGTAGATCTTTTTTCCTGTGCTGCAGGTCTAATATTTTTTGTATCGTTAGATAACTATCTAATTTTATATCGTTGGGCTTTGAATCATATTAATCATCATATGGGTTCAAGTAGCATCTCCCAGAACAAAGAAATTTTAATCTGCTCTTTAAGTGAGAGTAAAACCAGATTGCTGCAATTTGTTGATATTTGGTGTCCAACTAGTGCTTAGAAATAACTAAAAACAGCTGCTTCATGATCCAGTGAACTTCCATAATGTGCACCTTTCCCACTCTGAAAGAATAGGTGCATAAAGCTTGATTATTAAAAACCTACTGTTAGAGCTTTAGTTTGAAAGTTTGATCTGAAAGGCTAAATTCTCATTATATGCAGAGCCCAACCTGCGTTCAGGCTAGTGGTAAGATTATACTGAAGTAGCAGCTAGCTCTTATATAAGGCTTTTTATCCTCAGCTCTTCCACATGCCTTGCAACAGAGGTACTTACCATTCATTTGTGTTTCTTGGAGAAGAAAAAGAAGGCAAAAAGCTTGCTTTAAACTTGTAGAGAAGAGCAGGATTATGGGACTGCTGTAAGGGCAAAAGAAAAAATGGTGTGTATGTCTAAATCAGATACTGATTTTCCTGGGGGAAGACTTGCCTCTGAATCTTCTAATTAGGTTATTCCTTAGGAAATATTCAGCAGATGGAAATGAAGGAGAGTGGAAAGAACTAAATCTTAATATGTATGTAGTCTTAATTCAGCCTATCTTTTTGAATTACAGTCTTAAAGGTATTTTTTAATCTTGTCTACTGAATTCAAGTACAACATAAAGGTGGTGTTGACCTTCAGTGATTTAAATATAAATGCAGTCTTGTAGTCAGGACATTATTGAGAGAGAGATACCTGAATAATGACTGAATGTTTTGTATTTAGATATTTTCATCCCTGCCTGTCCAGCTTTCCTAATGCAGTTAGAATATTTTTAAGAAGAGAAGCCTTTTGTTTCTCTAGTCCTCAAACTGATCATGAATCAGATTCAGATGAGAGTGGTTTACTGTCCAAGATGCAGAAAGGCCCTTTTCTCAAACTTGTTGATTTTCTGTGCAGTGAATGAGGACGGAAACTGCATACAAAGGTTGTACAAAACCATGCTATGATGAAAGAAAATGGTAGTAGCCATTATTTTTATATCTTGTTTAGTTGTAATGCTTAAAAGTTCCTGTAATGACTCACCAAACCTCAGGGACAGTTTTCCTAACTGCTTTGTAAACTACCTTATATCCTTGCCTTGTTATCTGTGTCTATACATACAGATATTTTAAATTGTTATAGGTACATCTATGCTTGGACGAAAAAAAGTGGTTAGTTACTCAGGAAGTGAGGTTAGTACAGTGTTACATGTAGTGTAGGCAAGCCCATTTTTACAGTGCTAATGAACAGGACCAATGCAATTCTTTGTTTAAATGGGATCTCTTTAGCAAGAGCTGTACAGAAGCAGTAACTGCATACGCGTGTACTTCAGATGTATTTGGATGTCCCTGCTTGAGCTTGGGTTGGGCTGGATAGACCCAGAGGTGTCCCTGCCAACCTCAATCAGTCTGTGGTTCTCTTTTAGTCCCTTGGAATCTAACTGTGTGTCTGTTCTGTCACTGACACCTCCCTTTCCAACCCTAGCTCCACAGAATTGTGGAGTCTTTGTTAGGAGTTTGTCCCAGCAATTCCAGTCAAAAAAAAAGTTTTTTTTTTTCCTTTTGTGTCTTTCTTGAAAACGTTTCATCAGTTATGCATATGAATTGTGAAGAAGAAAACACTGTACGTTGTGTCCGAATAACGCATGTATCTATATACAATATAGATATTTCATATAAAAGCTCTATATAAACAAAATGCTTAAATGTCATGTTTTGTTTATTATCACAGTAGTTTCTATATATCTGAATTGTTTTGTGGCTCACTTACCTATTTTTTCACTTTTTTCTTTTTTTTTTCTGTGTGTTGTGTGCATTTTGTCTTGCAGAGTTGGAAGAAGGCAGAGATTTCAAGCTTTGAGTGACGGGCGCCTTACAAGATTACCATAGCTAAGCTGAGAAGGCAGTTGTAGCTCTGAGGTTCACTGAGCTGGTGTATGTACTGCACGTACATGAAAGCGCACATGTTTTTGTCATCGCATAGACTGACTTTCACGTATTCCTGAGAGCTTTGCAATTGATGAAAATTAATTTAAGTACCAGATGGAGCACCTTTACAGCACAGGAATTGGTAACCCATGGAAAAACACCTGCCAGTAATATTCAACTTACTACATGGTCTTCGCAAGTGAAAAAAGTTTGCAAGAAAAGGAAGAAAAAACACCCTCCACACAGAAGAAGCCTAAGAAATACCTCCACAATCTAAACCAATAATTGCGAGGGAAACATAAGAACACTGAGGGTGGAGGAAAGTGATTTTGTTATTGCAGGGGCATAATGTATCGTCTTTGGCTCGGTATGCTTCGGGCTGAGTAGTTTCTGAATGGACTAATAAATCGTGACTATATGTTGAGCAATGATGACTGAAAGTAAGTAAGTTGAGGAACTATGGCACAAGTCTGGGCATTGAACTGAAGAATCCTCATCATCCTTCTTGAGTTAACCAGGTCATCGTCTTACATATTCTTTCTTCCTCTCCTTTTTCCTCTTTTCACTTAGTGTGATATACGTACTAATGAATTGAGCTCATAAATGTTACTCAAATAAAACGATTGGAATACTTCATATGTTTCCTTCTTGTACAGCTGCAAATGTTGTGTCTGGAACTATGAATCTGTGCTGTAGACAAGCATCAAGAAGGAAAGATCCGATAAAACAAGCAAGGAAAATACCTAGAGAAATAGTGAAACCAGGAAGTCAGATTTTTAATGCTGCTTCTCTTTCTTTTTTAGATGAATACGTTCCTTCCTTCCTTGAATTTTAGAAGATTTTGAAAGATTGCTTACTTGATGTGCTTTAATTCTGGCATTTGTTTTTGGTAGGATGAAAAGTCTGTGATTCCTTGTAGCAGAAAAAAAGGGAAAAGTAAAGGAAAAACAGCTTGACATTTAAGCCTGTTTTGGAAGAGAGAGAACTTCATGGTTCACCTGAGGCAAACTTATCTGCTTTAAAAGCTAAAAGCTTTGGAGCATTTTTGATTCCGCTATAAATGAAGAGGGGGTTTCTTTGTCATTCGTGTGTGGCAGCAAAAAGTGGGAAAGCAGGCAAGATAGCGTGATAAACGGTTCAGGCTCTGTTTGGTCTCTGGTGGAAAAAAAGTGCTGCAATGAAAATTGGATTGGCTTTGGATTGCAAAAACGTTTGAATCCAACGAGCGGTTCAGTACCAAGAGGGATTTCCCATCTGGCCTGGCACACCAGTGCCTGCACAAGTTTGGGTCTGTTGTTTCGCACGGTTTGTGTGCCTTTTTTTCCCTTTATGCAATCTCTTTCAGCTTTAGCAGCAGAAATACGTCAGATGGAAAAGATATGCCAGAGGGCAGCTTGGAAAAGATGAATGTCATATATATACATATGTATGTGCGTGTGTTTAAATTTCTGCAACTGAACTTTTGAAGAAAATCTGACTGGAGGAAATCTTAAAAGCCTTAAGTTACTTGAAACCTACACATTTGCAACTCTTTGTCTCTGGAATTGCATTACGCTAAACTGGAATCTCAGGCTGTATAAAGATTATATCAAGTTGAGCAAAAAGATGACTTAACCATTTCTTGAGCGCCTCTTACTGAAGTAGCTGTCTCTCCAAAGGATAAGTGCACCCTCACTCTACAGACTCAACAACAAAAAATGAACCTGAATTTTTTTTTAAGTGTTACTTTTTCTTAGCCAACTGCCATCATCTTTTATAGAGGAATTTTTCACTATGCATTTGGTGGATATTTATAAACACTGACCCCATCCTCCTCCCTTTCAATGATCTATCCCAGGTCAGTCTTATCAATAAAAAACAAAAAAATTGGTTTAAATTTTGTGCGCTAGACACGTTACTTTCCTATGTCAAAAAATAAAATATTTAAAAAGCATGTATGCAGCAGTGGAACATGGGCCTGTTCTTTGCAGCGACTCCAACATCCTCTGCCTCTCCTGGAAAGGGAGAGTTCCCAAAAGTGAGAAGGAGAAACCCGTGTGCAGGCGGCGGTACTATGAGGAAGGCTGGTTGGCAACAGGCAATGGCAGAGGAGTTGTAGGCGTCACTTTTACTTCCAGCCATTGCAGGAGGGACCGGAACACCCCTCAGAGAATCAACTTCAATTTGAGGGGCCACAACAGCGAGGTAAGCAAACCGTGTGTTATGATTCAAAGATTGAGTGATGCTGGCTTTGGAAATGATAGCATTGATTCTTTTGTAGTGTTTCTGCTTGTAACGTGGCGGGAGAGCATGGAGGAGGCTCGGGACTAATCCAAATGTGTTTGGAATTTTTTTGGTAAACTGAAAAGCATGAGGCTTATGGTGAGGATGTTCTTTGAAAATGGATCTGGAATTTGCCCAGGTTCCAGCAAATTCAACAAATGCATGTCAGAATTTTGAAAGCTTTGATAGCTGATGGCTTTTACACAATATTAAAGTCTGCCTTGGAAGACTAATAGAAGGGCAGAGGGGTGAAAGAGTTGCTTAGGCAAAGCCTATCAGTTTTTATGAAATCACAGACTGAACTGTTCTGCAGCAGGTGACAGTGATGTGTAGGTCTGCACACAAGTGCATATGGACAGGAGTGTTTTGTATATTATATAGACTGTTACAGATAAAAGACAAATTAATGTACATATTTGTATGAAGTTCTGTCAAAAAAAGTGCAGATGCAACTTTTTCCAAGGGAAAGAGTGGTGTTTGCATCCAGCAATCTGCTTTGGGCTATCTTGAGTTATCAGTATGTCTTTCATTTGCATATTGGGGTTTGTTTTTTGAAATGTGAGATACAATGACCACTTCTGCTTTTGCTTAACATGTGTCTTGGAAACACCAGAAGTAGTGCTGCTAATGGGGACGTGAAGTCTTGTTGCAGAACATGGAACTATGGGGCTAGGCTTAATATGCGCCAGTTAAGTGAGAAAGTTGCTGATGTGCGTGCTGCCTTCTGGTTCTGGTTAATTTAGCTGTGTTTACACAGTCAGTCATAACATTCTTTTTCTGGGTTGCAGCATCATTGCTCTGTGGATTGAGCCATGCCACTTGTACATCCTTTCCTTTCCTCCTGTGATTGGCACAGGAGTCTCAAATGAGAATGTTTCTTTGTGAAAGTTTTTGGATGTGGGCTCTTAAATTATGTTGGGCCAAGCCTGTCATTAATAATAATAATGAGTAAGGTTGTGTTTCTAGAAATCTTCCTGGTTAGGAGCAAATGTGTGAAGGACTAGCATAGAGGCTAGCAATTCACTTCTCTGCATGGGGCTACAAGGCTGATAAGATGGTGTCAAATGTATCGTACTTGAAGAAGGGAGTCGCTTTTTGGGCAGTTAGCTTTGTGGTGGGTCTTTGGCTGCTGCCAGGTTTTTTGAGCATTGGTGTGAAGGAAAGCTTGTGCTTACAAGATGATGTATTATACAAAACCCTTCACTGGACTTATTGAACGCTGTCCTGTTTCTTAGAGGATAATCTTACTGGTTTGGGAGGGAATAAAACTTTAATGCCGGGTTTGTTACTGGTGAAAGGTAAATAGTGAAATGGACAAGAAGATTGTTTCTTTAGTAAATATTTTCCTTCTGAGTTTATCTGTTGAAAGATTCTTTAAATAAAATGTTGGAATGGCTCAACTTAAAGCTAGTGTGACAAGCAAAGTTTATTGTTTTTCTGATGTATGTTCCTGCTTTAATATCACTGTGCTTCAGTTATAAAGCATAAAGTGCTTTAATGAATGAGCAGGAGAGGTGAAAACACTGAAGCTAGAAGCTTTCAGTTTGGGCTATAATAAGTAGTATGCTGCAGGCAGAGCAGTACACTGTATTTCAGTTTTAGAGTGAAAATCTGGGAAAGGTAAAGCAGCACTGTGCTTTGGGCAAGAACATGAGCCTATTTTTAACCAGGTCATGAAGGTGGATGCTAGTCATGTATTTTTGCAGTGTTTTTATGATTGCTGAAAAGATTCCCTGAAACCTTTTGGTACACAGCTCCTTTTTTGTCTGTAGAAGCAATGCCTACAGCATATCAGAATGAGTAAGAATGAAGAATCCCTGGGACTGAATTACTGGCAGGCACATTACAGTGGTAACGTTACACCATATTACAAGTGGAGTACTTGCATGATTCATTGGATGAGACAATAACTGTGAACAAAGTGCCTGGTAGCCTGAGCCAGGGTTGTTTTTACAATTGCTTCAAGGTTGGTTATTAGCGTTGGAAACTAGGAAGTGGCTGTTATAATATTTTAATTAATGTCCTGATGTTTTTGTAGTTTCTAGGGAAGAGCAAGGGATTAAAATAAGCATATTCCATTTGTTCTTTGTCAGAGTGTGAAATGACTGCATTTTGTGATAGATACTTTTTACATTTTGGATAATATTTATAGTCTTGATTCTCATTAACGTAAAGCTCAGAATTCTAACAATTAAAAATGGATGCGTATCTTCC